GACAGAGGCCGAAGGGGCAGCCCAGGTTTGGGACCAAAGGCTGGGTAAGCAGGAAACTTACGTTTCATTATATATTATTTTATACTGTTTTGATTGTGTTTTGGGTTCTTTCTGTTTTTTTGTTGACGGCTGACCGGTAGGGAGATCCGAACCCTTGATCCACGCTGTCCCGAGTGAGCTAACCGGCCAGTCCTTAATTGCACTTTTTTTTCTTTTTTTAAAAGATGACCGGTAAGGGGATCTTAACCCTTGACTTGGTGTTGTCAGCACCACGCTCTCCCAAGTGAGCGAACCGGCCATCCCTATATGGGATCCGAACCCGTGGCCTTGGTGTTATCAGCACCGCACTCTCCCGAGTGAGCCACAGGCCGGCCCCCTTAATTGCACTTTAAAAACCATGTACATCTTGCAATTCAGAAACATTCATTTCAAAAGGGTAGGGTGCCCCAAATGACCTTGAAATTTCCTTTCAAGTGGAAAACCAAGTCTCTTGTCGGGTCCCTTAAACAGGTTCCATATTTGAGCATAATTTCAGGAGACCTTCGGGTTTCTGGTCTTGTGAGAAGTGATCAGAGTTCCTGGAGTGAGAGCTCTGCGCAAGGCACAGACGACACGTCTCGTGACCAGCCCAACCTTGTCTTCTGGGGTGATTTCCCTGGGACCTGTTCCCAAGAGCGAGCTTGTTGGTGGAAGCACAAACATCTCGGAGTCTGCTGTCTCGTGCTTTATTTCATTTTAGTTTCAGTGATGACGGGCTTCGCTGAGGCTTGGCTGTGGACATGAGTGGCATGTGTCCACCTCCCTCTCTGACCTTTGTTCCTCAGACCGTCCCCTGCCACCTTGGGGCTTTTGCGTGGGCTCTCAGCCCGGGACAGGTTCTGCCACCAGGGGCCTCCCTGGGCAGGCACTCACTGTAGCTACATAGTTTCTCCTTTAAACTGAGCTCAGCTGGGACCAGCCCATCCTCCCTGGACCACTCACTCAGCCCCTAACCCTCCCTCGCCCCAGCCTGAGAAAACTTCCTCCTGGTGCATCATCAGGCCAGGGGGGCTTCCTGGAGGAAGGGACCAGGGGGTCTTAAAGGCTGGACAAGGACTTTAGGGTCTCAGGAATGGCCAGAGCCATGATCCCCTCCCCGGTGTCTTGTCTCCAGGCAAAAGGTTAGTGAGGGTCTTGGGCAGTGGGGGATTGGGGGTGTGCAGAGAGAAGGGAGGCATTAGGAGCTGCCTCCCACTCCTCTGCCAGCTGGAAGGGGGTGTCCAGTACTGAAAGACAGACAGGACTGAGTAGGGACGGAGGAAGGCACCTGCACTGTGGGCCAGGCCTTTGCACCCTCCATCCTGGCCACGCGGTGCAAAGGGGTGAAAACGCACATTCCAGGGATGGGCAAGCTGAGGATGGGGAGGCATGGGGGACAGCCACGGGCTCAGCCTCTGCCCGCCACCCCTGCCTCCCCGGTCCTCAGCGATGACTACCTGTCCCTGGAAGGGCCCCGCTGGGCACCGGCCATCAAGCAGGCGACACGCTGGAAGTACACGCCCACAGGATGTGACGCTTCCGGCCAGCTGTGGTACACAGGCCTGACCAACTCGGACCCCCGGGAAGCCTGGTACAACCTGCCCCGGGCCCAGGACAGCCCCTACCGCGAGGCTTACGCCCGCTGGCACGGATGCTACCGCCACCGTGAGCAGAGCCTGCCCCCAGGTGAGTGGCCGGCCCTGCCCTGCCACCGCCCCCCTAGGCCCGCCTGTCTGGGACAGGAGCAGAAATGACCACCTTGCCCACCCCGCAGCCTACACCCAGCACCTGCGGGAGAGCGCCTGGTACGACCCCATCGTCCCTGCCCAGTACACGACCCCCAGCACCCGGTGGGGGAGCATGGTGTGGAAGGACAGGCCCACCCGGGGCAAGGAGCTTGGTGAGGTGGGGCCAGGGGCGCTGGGGCTGGTATACCTGGAGGTCAGGGAACAGGACATCTAGGCCGGGTGAAACTGCCGGGAGGTGGGGAGACGGTAGACACATTGGTCCCAGTAGCCCTTCATTAGCCAAGGGCCTGGGGACTTGCCGGGGCCTCGCAGTGACCCTGTCCCTGGCCTGCAGTGCTCAACAGGAACCGGCATGAGGTGGAGCCACTGTGGCGGGCGTCGGACTACGTGCCCTACCTGTCGGCGCCCCAGCGGCCACGATACACCATCCAGAACTACCGGCAGTGGGACCTGGAGCCCTACTGCCCCTCGACCAACCTGCGGCCCCCGCCTGTCCACATGCCCACCCACTCATAAAGGCCATGCTGCCGACGCCTGGCCCTCTGCCCTCCACGGGGACCCCACGCGCCTCCATCCTCCCTCCAGTTTTCTGCGCAACCCCCCCCAACATCTGTCCATATCTGGGGACAGGTGGACCACTGAGCAGTAGGTCAGGCATCCTGATGAAGACAGTCATTAACCGAGACCCAGGTGACCAAGGTCCAGGACAGAGATGGACGCGGGGCCCCAGGAACACAGGAGCCGAGGCCACAGTCCTCGCCCGCGGGCAGTGCTGTATTCGCTCAGCAGTGGAGGCCACCGAGCCCTACAGGCCACCATGGCAGGGACCCGCACCTGGATCTCCCGGCAGGCTCGGTTACAGCACCGTCCCCAAGGGGGCCCTGGCAGCTCCAGGAGACCCCCAGGGAGGAGTGAGGGTCAGACTGAGGCTGAGCTAAGGGCAGCCCCTGGTCCCCTCTGGAACCCTCACCTCCTGCCATCCAGAGGGCTGGGAATGGGTTCAAGTTGGGACTGGGGCACCCCAAAGCCTGGGGACCCCACAGGCCCCTGGAGATCAGAGGCTCTGCCCAGTGTCCCCAGCCCAGGGGGGACAGGCTACAGGCATTCTCCCATCCAGCCCCGGCCCACCCATCCCTCAGCCAGGCGAGGGGGAGGGGGGCAGTGAGAGGAAGAGGAGCCGTAGTGGCGGCTTCCCCCGGAGACCAGGCTGGACAGCACATGCGTGTAACTGGTCTGTGTGCACCGGGGCAGGAGGCCGGGGGCTCAGGGTTGGGTGCGGGGGTCCCCTGCAAGGGAAGGGGGAGAGGACGGCATCAGGGGAGGGCGGGGTCTGTCCCAGCCCTCCCAACCACGGTTCGTTTGTGTTTGGGGAAGTGGGCGATGGGGAGGTCTTTGACTCACAGCGTTGCAGGTGGATGGGCCAGATGAGGAGGCTGCACAGAGAGAGCGTGGCGGCCACGCCCACACCGCCGGTCACGGCCACCATCACCCAGTGGTAGAAGCCCAAGCAGGCTCTGCAGCAGAGCTCTAAGCTGCAGGGAGGGTGGGCGGACACAGCTGAGGGGAACCTGCCGGACCCTCGCTGGACCCTCCTACCCCCGCCTGACCTGCTCCTGCCCTCAGCTGAGGGCAGCTCGTCCTGCCCTTCCTCCAGGGCACTCAGGCCAGACGCTGGGCTCACCCTCCACTGCCTCCCTCCCCTCCCACGTCCAGCCCCTTGGCCACACTGTCAGGTCTACCTGCAAAGTCTGTCCCCAATGCACCTGCTGTCCCCCCTCTGCTGCCTCCACCTGGGCCAGCCCCACCATCACCCACCCGGACCAGCCCAATCCCCTCTGCCCTGGTCCCCAGCTCCCACCCTCACCCCCCAAGCCTGTCTTCCCCACAGCAGCCACCAAGGGGTGGCTGTGAGCACCGAGTGGGGTCTCCTCCCCGCTCTGCCCACAGCCCTCCATGGCTCCCGCCTTCCTCAGAGTAAAAGCCCAAGACCTCCCCGCAGCCCACAAGGCCCTGCACGACCTGCCCATCCCCTCTCTGCTTCCACCTCCTCCCTCTCTCCTTTGCTCACTCTCCTCCAGCCACACGGATCTCCTGCTGTTTTTCCAATATGCCTCAGGGCCTTTGCACTGGCTGCCCCTTCCCACTGGACTTCCTCCAGTCTGATGCCACTTCCTCGGGGAAGCCCCCCCTGAAGTCCTGCCCTAAATGTTCTTCATGCCACTCAACATTGGACTTGATTACACATCACATTTATGATTATTAACATGGCTGGCATCACCCCTAGCTCCATGAGGAGGGGGCACAAGGCTGGCTTTGGTTCCCAGGTCCTGAGCCTCTACAAATGCAAACTCCGTGGTCTAGAACCATCTGTGTGGGTCGGGGTTACATGAACTCTGTGCTCTCCTCCAGCCAGGCCCACTCACATTCCCATGAGACACTGTATACTGCGTATACAACGGACTCAACGTTTGCTGACGCATCAATGAAATGCACGAAGTTGAGATGAGCAGGTCTCCCCAGACTGTGAAGCCCACCAGGGCAGGGGTCTTTTGTCCACAGCTGGATTCCCAGATCCAGAACACTGCCTGGCATACAGCAGGTGCTCAATGCTTTTTTTTTTTTTTTTTTTTTTTGGTGGCTGGCCAGCACAGGGATCCGAACCCATGACCTTGGTGTTACAAGGCTGTGCTCTAACCAACTGAGCTGACCGGCCAGCCGTCAATGCATTATCAAATGAATGAATAAACAAATGAACGAAGGCACTCACGGGCAGGGGTGCAGGCTCTCGATGACCATCACGGCCAGCCCGTTAGCCACCTTATCCAAGAAGCTCATGGCGCCATACACAAAGGCTCCACTGTGCTGGGGGGACACGGGCAGGATGGTCAACACCCACAGCCCAGGTTCTGATCCTCGCCTCCCCTGCCCCAGCCCTGCCCACCAGCCCTACCGTGTGGGGGCCAATGAGGTCGGCCGTCATAGACAGCGAGGTGACAAGAATGGTGGCACATCCAGTGCCCAGCAGCCCGGCCGCAGCGTACACGGCCACGCCCAGCCTGTCCACCAGTGCCACCCAGGCTGCGAAGGCCAAGATCACCAGAAGGCCAGCGAAGTAGGTCAGCTGTAGGGATGAGGCCCAGCCCAGAGTCAGCCACGCCACTGAGCGCCCCCGAGCCTGGCGCTCACCCTCTCTGGTCCTCAGCCCACCACTCCTAGCCTGGCCCCAGGGAATGAGGAGCTTGAGCCGGACAGTCCCCCAGGAGCTCCCAGCTCTGACTGTGGGGAATCCGGAGACTCTGAGACCCACGTGTTCTTGCGCTGTGCCGGCCACACAGTGGCTGCTAGACACACGCAAATATTTGTCTCAATGCAAGTCCAGTAAAATGAAAGAAAATGAAGGATTCAGCTACTCAGTCGCTGCAGCCACATTTCAGGTACTCAGTAGCCATGTGTGGCTACCGTGATGGACAGCACAGAAAGTTCGACAGTTCTGCAGTCCCAAGTTGACCCAACACACTTGGAAGCCAGGATTCTAGAATTCTTGGTTCTCCGATCCAGGGCTTTTACAGGGCAAGAACTCCAGGGTCTGAAGCCATCCGGGGCTGGACCTCCCAGTTGGTGGGTCTGTGTTGGGTGTGTTCTTGGCTGCAAGGCCCCCATCCTCCTCCCCAGCTGCCCACGGTCCCCGGCCACTCACGTTCCTCCCGATACACTTGTTGACTGGCTTCATTAGAAGTGAGGAGACGAATCCACTGAGGTACATCACCAGAGGAATGGTCGCGATGAACCTCTGTCGGGACAGAGCCGGCATGCTGTCTCAGTAGTGGCTCATGGGGCCGGGGGACCCATTTCACCTCTGTCCCCTGCCGCATCCCACCCAGCTCACCTTGGGCAGTTTGAGGGAGTAGGTGAGGTACATGGCCATGTAGGTCTGGGAGAGGTTCACAATGAGCCTTGTGGTCATGTACAGCACACCCACCTGTGGGCAGATCAACAGAGGGACCCTCAGGTCAGACGGGGCCCTTCTCCACTCCCACCAGCAGGGGTCCCTGCATCTGGCACCTGCTCCATCAGTAGTGAACTGCCCAATGGGTTGGTCAGAGAAGACAGCAGTGATTGATTAGCAATGTCTGCCCTGCATGTGGAATGGAGCGTGAGAGCAGTGATTGATTAGCAATGTCTGCCCTGGACGTGAGGACAGAAGTGGTCACATTTGTGCTGCACTTGCCATCTCTGCTGGCTCTGTGGAAGATGCAGCCCTGCAGAGTGAAGGGCCTGGTGGGAGAGGGCTGTCACCTCCAGCCCTCTGGCCCCCATGACGTACCTGATAAAAAGCCGGCTCCCGAAGCCAGTGTTTCCAGAGCAGCAAGGGCTGGGCGGCCATGGGGGCCAGCAGGGGGCTGTGTTCATCTGGCTCCTCCACCCGTGGCCGGCGCCTCTCCCTGGTGCCCAGGTGGAACAATAGCGAGAAGACGGCTCCGATGCCCACCACCAACAGGGAGAGATTCTGGGGACCCAGCAGGAGGCGGGGTCAGCAGCTGCTCTCAGGGACCCACCCCAGGCTCAGGGACTTTGGGGTGGCCCACCTTGGCCCCAGCTCACCCGGAACACCGACACATCTTGGACCCCCAGCTGGTCACTGACACTGAGGTCCTGGGCAGGCCCCATGCGTGAGGAGCCCTGCAGGTGGAGTAGGAGCCAGGCGGCACCATAGACGGTGATGTTGGCCACTACAGTGAAGGCGTACCTGCCGAGAGTGGGACAGGGCCTCAGCAGGTCACCCCCGTAGACCGTGTGGCTACCTCCTCCCCTCTCCAGGTGGCAGCATGGGTCAGAGCCACTTACGGCATATGGTTGATGGGTGATTTCATTCACCAACTCATTGGGTGGCCCCAGGGGAGCCCCTGATGGCCTCAATTTCCCCAGCCTGCACTTTATCTGACCATGTACAACGCTGACCTGCAAGTCCACCATGTGGGAACCCCTAGGACCCAGATGGAGAGACTCCACATAGCAGGACTGAGTTCAGATTGCCACCCAAAAGTCTGAAAGCCCAGGAAGCTTGGACACCAGGAATTCTAGAATTCTTGGTTCCCAGATCCTGGGTTTCTATAGGGCGAGGACTCCATGGTCTAGAATCATCTGGGCCTGCTCTTCCCTGCAGCCCTGCTTGGCCAAGGGTGTAGGGGGAGCCTTTGGAACTCATCAGGGCTCAGTTTCCACTTCTGAAAGCGATGACAATGCTCCCTCCGGAGGCCAAGTGAAGGTGACAGGAGGTCATCTGGCAAATGGTCACACATAGAAAGTGCCCCAGAGTTTGCTGGGGCCCTCAGGGGCCCTGACGTTGGGCAAGCCCTGTCATTAGCACCCACATCTCCCTCTCAGGGCCATAGTGGGAAACTCAGAGGTAGGAGTGGGGAGGAGGCCAAGGTGGCCAGAACTGGGGACAAGTGAGCTGATTTGGAGACAGAATGGGGCCCTTGATGAAGATGCTATTCAAACCCTGGCTTTGGGCGCATGACAACCTCCTGCCCATTTCCTCCTCTGGAATATGGAGGTGTTGACATTCCCAGCCTCCTGGGCTCGTTGTGAGGATTAAGGAATGTGTGTCAAGGACCTAGAATTATGCCTGGCACACAGAAGTGCTCAATAGATGCTCTCGTTATCATCACGTCTATTTAGTTTTTTGTTTTTGTTTTTCGTTTTGGTGACTGGGCAGTGGGGAGATCTGAACCTGTGACCATGGTACCTCCCAAGGGAGCCAACTGGTCAGCCTGTATTGTCATATCCAGAGTAACCTCCTCTCGTGCCTAAGCAAGTTGACAGATAAGCCAGGCACCGACCGTCCGCATGTGTAGCAGGCAGAGTTCTGGGATGGGCCCAGAGAGTCCCTCCCTGTCCAATCCCTTCCCCTGCGGGGCGGGACCTGTAAGTCTACGGTGGACGTCACTCGCAGGTTTAGGTAATATGCCATGGCAGAGATAAAGAAATTGTGCAGATGTAACTAAGGTCCTTGGTCAGTCTGGGTTCATTAAAAGTGAGATTATTCTGGGTGAGCCTGACCTAGTCAGGTGATCCTTTAAAAGAGGGCTGAGGGCTTCCAGGAGGTCAGAGATTCCCCCATTGGCCTCAAAGAAGAAGCAAACCACCATGAGTTCTCCAGGTGCAAGGAAACAAACTATGCCACCAACTCCATGAGCACAGAAGAGGGACCCCAAGCCTCAGATGAGATCCCTGCCCTGGCCAACACCTTGACTGCGGCCTCAACACAGACCCTGAAGATTCCTGATCCACAGAAACTGCGAGATGATAGAGGTACGTCGCTTTAAGCTGCTAACTTTGTGGTGACCTGTTACACAGCAGTAGCTGAAACACCATGTTACATTTATACCAGCTGTGGCTGACAGCCCCACCAGAGAGGGTGGCTGGGTGTTCCTGGCCTTTCCTGTCTGCCAAGGGAGTACCTGAGTGCCGTAAGCTCCACCTTCTCGTGGTCATTGGTGACCAGCTCCGGGATGAGACTGAGGTGGGAAATCTGCGTCGCAGCCCAGCCGAACTGGAATATCACGATGAAGGGCCCATAGTACAGGAGGGCGGCCCACTCGGGGGTGGCCGCCCCGCAGCCCAGGCACGGGCTGAAGATGAATGGGAAGGACAGAAGGACGCAGACCGTGCCTGTGGACAGGCAGAGGTGGGAAGGTCACATCACGGGTCCTGCCCATGCCAGCCCAGGGCTCCCCAGGGTGTGATGGGGTGGAGACAAAACCGAGACAGAAAGGGCTGGGGACACAGTTGGGTGAGAAAAGAGCACAGAGAAACTGAGGCACAGAAAGCACTGGAGAGCTCCCCCACTGAGTCACACCAACCACCAAGACCCATTGTGTGCCAGATCCCTCCTTCCATGTGCTCAGAAAAAACCCAATACCTTGGAATGAATGAAAAATCCTCCCCATGGCACCAAGCCCTACATGACCTGCCCTGTCCCCTCCCATCCTCCCCTCCTGCCTCTCTCCCCCTCGCTCTCTCTGCTGCAGCCACACGGGCCTCCTTGCTGTTCCCCCCATACGTCAGGCTCGGTCCTGCCCCAGGGCCTTTGCACAGGCTGTGCCCTCTGCCTGGAACACCTTTCCCAAGTCCTAGCAAGGCTGACTGTCTTCTTTTCCCACCTCAGGTCTCAGTTTGAACATCTCCTCCTCTGAGAAGCCCTCCCCGACAGCCCAGTCACCAGCAGTCCCCTCCCTGCCCCAGACACTCTGTCCTAAACACTGCTCTCTCTTCTTGGCACCCTTCGGCACACCTAGGAATTCTTTTGTGTGTCCATCTGCTTGTTTCCTGCCTGTTTCCCCACCAGACAGGCACCACAGGGCGTGGATAACAGGTCTCTCTGAGTCACTTCTGTGTCCCATGGCAGCTGGCACATCAGCATCCTCTGAATAATAACAGAGGCGTCTCTTCACAGCCCCAAGGGGTGGGTGTTATTATCCCCATTTTCCAGATGGGGAAACTGAGGCCCACTGAGTGGACCACACAGCTGAAAATCCAGCCCTCCGGAGGCCCTGCACCCTTCTCCTCCCACCCTGAGCACCTGCAGGGGGCCCCTGGGCTGTGCCTGGCAGCGGGACTTCCTCCCTCCAGGCTCCTGCCGGAGGTGACCTCATCCCCTGGACCCTGGGCCCGCCCCTGCAGTCTTGGAATTGGGAAGTAAAACCAAAACCACTCTCCTATTTCTCTGGAACTGGTGCCTGGGAGGGGACACAGAGCAGATGCCTGGAGGCCTGGAGGCCACCCCTGGGCTGTCCACAAACTGGACTTTAGTCAGGAGAATGTGCCTCCCTGGCCAGACTCTACCCTGCTGCTAGCCAGGCCAGGCCAGCCATTGTCGGGCCAGGCTGCCTGGCTGGGGGATCTTAAGCAAGTGACCTTGCCTCTCTGGGCCTCAGATTCCAGAAAACAGGGGTAATGAAAGTTCACACCTCACAGTGTTGGCACAAGGATGAAGAGGCGGGGCTGGCCAGTTAGCTCAGTTGGTCAGAGCAGGGCCTTGGAAAAGCAAGGTCCAGGGCTGGCAAAAAAAAAGTTAACACGTGAAGCAAGCAGGAGCTCCTACCACTCTGAGCCACCTCCTGCCTCAGCAGCTTCAAAACCCAGAGTTCTCACCTTTCCACAGCTGTTTCCTCTACCTGCAATGCCCCAGCCCCACACACTCCTATTCATCCCTCAAAACCCCAATACTGACATCCCTCTTCCTTCTGAAGCCCAGTTTCACTATCTGCCCTAGCCCACAGGGGTGTCTATGCCTGACATAGAGGGTCGCCTCAGCACTGGATGGGGGAGCCCCGAGGGCTTAAGGGAAGGAACTGCCATCCACAGACTCGGGGTTAAAATAGAGAAGTGGGCACTGTTGCCAGGGTGACCTTCCCTCAAGTCACCTTATCAGGCATCACGTGGAGCTATCCTGGCTTCCTCTCCCAACAGACCCTCCTGGGTCTCCCCACTTGAGGCAGAGAAGGGGTACAGGTGGTAGACCCCACCCCCAGGCCTGTTTTGCATAAACACAAAGCCTTCCCAGCCCTCACCTCCGCGGGTGACCTCAGACTCCTATCTGTGGTCAGGTGGGACTCTCCACAAACCTCAGGCCTCCCCTCTATGAAAGGGGCACACTCAGGCCTGGAGGCTCGGAGCTGCTAACACGTTACCCACCTCAGGGTCTCTGCACATGGGTCTCTACACACACAGTGTCCTCTGCCAAGGACACCTTCCCCTGGCTGGCTCATGTCCTCAGAGGGGTCGCCCCAGATAAAGAGTCCTCTGCATCTCTCATCTATCCTGCCCAAGAATTATCTTGGTTTTCTCTTAATGAGTTTACCTGACTACTATGACCAAAGTTGCATGTGAGACTCTGGGCTCAGGTCTGCAACCCATCTTGTAAATAAGGCAGTAATGAGACCAAATGGTCTGGGGTCTAAGTCACCTGCCTCTCCCCTGTTCCCCTCCCTGTCTGCCCCAGTCTCTAGTGACCCAAAAATAGCACCTAAGAAACCTGAAAATCCAGCCCCCAGGCTGTGGCCAAAGCAATGCTGGCCACCCTCAGGCCAATGGAGATTTGCTGTGTCTTGCAAAAAATGTCACTCACGAGGGCCTGGGTCAAACCACTGCCCCTCAGTCATTGCCCCTGAGGGCAAAGAGACATCAGCCGGCCCCTCTGGTCTTCCAGAAAACTATCGCCCAGAATTCTGGGGAGTGGGCAGGATTCTTGGCCCTGCCTCCTGAAATGCCCAGCGGGCCCCCAAATGCCAGGATGCAGCTGGTGGTTCTGCCAGGGAAAGGACAGCAGAGAAAGTGGCCCAGGGTTAATCTCTAGGCTCAGGGTCCGGGCAGGAAGAGGAGGATGGCGGGAAGGCAGGCTCTGCAGTCTTATTGGGGTACACTGGGCCAGGACGACTGGGTGGGACCAGCCTCCTGCCCTCACCAATAGGATGATGTCCCCCATCACCCGCCCTGCACGGCCCTGATCTCTCTCATCAGCTGGATTGATGGGACGCAAAACTGGGCACAGACTCCCGACCCTCCAGTCTCACCTGGCCCCTAACTCTCAGCTCCCTGGGCAGTCCCCCAAGACTCCCCCCGCCCCCAGCCCCAGGTTGCCTGAGATGGGGCAGGGGATGGAGAGGGTACTCTAGGGGAACGGACAGAGCTGTCCTGGACTGTCACAGATGGAGGTCAGGCCCAACCCAGAGAATGGTTCAGGATGCCCCCAGGGGTCAGAGAAATAGACACAGGGAAGTGACATTGGAGGGACAAGTGAACAGTCAGGAGAGGCCCTTCAGGCCAGATAATAGCCACGAAGCAGACAGACAAGGGAGGGTGGGCCACAGGACAGACAGAGGGGTACAAGGCAGTTAAGCAGACAGATGGGGGAGGTTCAGGCCACAGGACAGAGTGGGAGGCTCAGGCTGGATGGCGGGATAGACAGGGGAGGCTCAGGAGGGACACTAAAGAGGGGCATGGCCAGTCAAGTGGAGGAAGCTCAGGCCAAGGGACAGACAGACAGAGGGGGGAGGCCCAGGCCACCAGGCAGGCAGACAGACGGAGGTGGGACTCAGGCCACGGGGACACCGGGCAGTCGGACAGCGCGGGGAGTCTCAGGGGTGGGGCAGACCGGGCAGGCTGGGCCGAGGGGCCCGGGGCGCTTACCGACCAGGTGCCAGGCCTTGCGCGGCCCGCAGCGGCCGCAGCGGCCGGCGGCGCGGTCGGCCTCGTAGCCCACCAGGGGCGTGCACAGAGATCGGAAGA